GATTACACCAGCAAAGATAGTTGCTAATGAGGCGACTGAATTTCAATGCATCTTGTAGGGACACAGTGCAGCCTGTGACACACAGGATGGGCAGACTGAGGGTAAAGGGCAAATCTCTTTGGTGGTAAAATGTACACAGCATTAGGTTTGCCTTTAATGCCATTTAGTGCGTTCCTAGCATGGTGTAACTCACCGCCATGTAGCTCTATAACATTGCCACCACCTCAGGAGAGACTCTTTTTCTCAGTGACTTCCAATTCTTCCTTTCCCCCAACTTAGAAAAACACCTATCTGCTTTGCATCTCCACAGTTTTGCTCATCTTGGACATGTGGCATCAATGAAGTGTGCTATGTGACGTTCAGGACCAATGTTCTCTGCCTCAGCATAGTGTCCTGGGGTCACTTGTACCACAGCGTATGTTAGAACTTCACTCCTTTCTATGGCTGCATGATATTCCAACTTGTTGTTCTGGGCCAAAGCAGCCTCCATGTAGGAGAATGGGTCAAGGGTGTTATGAGGCTGAAGAAAGAGGCAAGCAGATCAGGATTGTGCAAAGCGCCATTTCCTGGGGTCTGAGGCAGCCGAGAGGCCAAGTGGATCCCCACCACTGGAGTCAGCGAGAGGGACACACAGATGAGTTGGGTCAGGAGAGACTTCCCCCATGCTGTAGTGTCACCTACTTCATCCCAAGCTAACTTCAGAGACTGCCTCAGGCACATTCCCTGAGGCTGGTCTGGTTGTAAAGCTGCCCACACCACTGGAGTGCTTTGGTGTGGCAGGGGTCCTGGCAACCCAGGCGGCTGCAGTCAAGTCCCCCTGAATGCGCACAGCATGCATGACACCCCCTCAGCCCATTCTTCCGGCGACAGACATCTGAGTCATTGGGAAGAATCCTTCCACATGCAGAATTGTTGCCTGTGAAGTTCTGGAGAAAAATCACTGTATCATCCACCTTGCAAGAAGGACATCAGAGAAAGTCTGGGAGACAAAGTTGCCAGATAGATAAATGCGTAGGGACTTTGCCTCACGCAGTGTTTGTCATGCACTTCAACTAAGAAAAGTTCTTGCTTCTCTGAAACACACATGCATTTATCCTGGGAACCCACTGCTTGTGGTCCAGATCTCACTCTGCATTCTCCCCTGGGGCATCAGGAAGCAGTCTGAATGAGAGCCCTTCTTCCTCTTTTGTCTAAGAGAAAGGACAAACCCCAAGCCACTGGATTCAATGTTTTAAAAGCTTGCGCTGTGTTTCTGGGCTGTCAGTGCCCATGCAGCCCGGAATCCTCAACTCTCCCTGCTAAGGCCCCTGACAGGCACCTTCCAAGCTGCCCGGCCAGGGCTGCAGGAGCTGCTGCATGGAGCTCCGGAAGACTCCTGCGTCCACACCATTACACGCTGTCCTACCTAAGCGGCAATCGAGACTGAGGCCAAGTCCTGAGTCTGAGGAGACCCAGGGCAAGGCGGAGCTGCAAGGCAGCTCTGGCTGCAGACAGCACCAGCAGGTGACTAGCCCCACGGCTACCTGTGACAGCACCCAGAAGTTTGTTGCAAACACAGATTTGCAGGCTCACACAGACCTACCGATTCACAGTCCCAGCAGGCTGTGTTTCGGCCGCCACCCATTCTGGTGCCTGCTACAGTGCCAAGACCTGTTGCAATGCCCCTGTTCCTCAGGGTGGAAAATGGGTTCCCAGTCTATGGGAACAATAAAATAATACAGACTTAGGAATGTAAATTGTTTTCATTTCTTTGATAGATGATCAGAAATGAAAGGGAGCTGGAAGAGCTCTCTTCTTCAGCCATTTCCTGAGATCTGCTCTCTTCTGAAGAGTTTGCTCAGCTGCCCCACTGGCTTCCCATTGTATAGATGGACTTAACTCACAGTTCAGTTTTCCCCTAGCAATTCCTTGGGGTTGGAGACACAGCTTCTTCTTCATGGCAGCTACAGCTTCTGGAAGTTCCAGAAAGGCCCTGGAACTCGGCCTGGCCCCCAGCTCACCGGCCTGTGTGGCCCAGCCAGCGAGGACCCTGGGGCAGGGCCAGTTCATTCCCGGTAGGTATGGGTTAGGTTTTGGGGAACAGACAGCAGTCTTCCCATGAACTGTCAGTGTCCTGGTTCCCAGTATCCCATTGCACAACTGCATATTGGGAACTGAACAAGTGGACTCCTTGGCTGGGCCCTGCAGGAAAAGCCCCGGGCTGGCTTGAGTTTGTCCACAGAGGATGAAGTGCGCACAATCACATCCAGTGATTTCTATTTTATTCATTCATTAAACTTCGTAAAATTATTATGTAGGACTAAACATGATCCATTCAAGCTTTGCTGGCCAAGGTCAGGAGCAGATTCAAGCCCAATGTGGGCCCCGCAGACCTGTCCAACGTGGTTTCTTTCATAGGAAAACTTTAAAAAGGGGTGCTGTATGTTTATTTTTTCAACAAACTAGAAGATAGAGAAATAAGAAGTACAGAGAAGTTCAAAATTTTCTCCAAATTATCTATTCCATTGTTTTAACAATATTTAAATCAATACGCCAATTGGTTTTCATTTATACTGCTATACTACTAGCAGTTTCCTTAGTTCATGCAAGAGGGTATTCTGCTATTATCTGCTTGTTTTTTTTTTTTTTTTTTTTTGTAAGACAGTCTGCTTTGTGTATGACCTTACTTAGAGTAGCATTTTGGCCATGCTTTTAAGGTATTGGTACATGGAGTATTAAATATGTTATTCTCTGATTTGTGTTGAAATTTTGTTTAATTTTTTCCACAGGAGTAAGAAGAGTGCTTTCCATGTTTTCTTTATTGATGTCCATTTCTACTACATCACATAAAAATAAATACAAATTCGGGGTAGTGAGAAGAGCTTAATGTCGCAAGGTGTTTCTCAGCTCCCTTGTGCAAGCTGCGTGAAGGATGCAATTTCAGGCTCAGGACGGCTTCCTCACCGCGCCTGGCCTTGCGACCCAGTGGACGCGCGGGACTGGAAACAGACTGCAAGAACTTCATGCATTCTTGCTGGGGAACAGCAGACAGGACGAAAACGAATTTATCTTTTCTCAGCTCTGCGGTCCCTGAAGTCCTGCTGGAGCCTTGAATCAGGGTCCAGCTTCTCCATCAGCCAGGGCGTCTCTGCCACAACTTGGTCCTCGGTTAGCACACTGGTGAGCACTGGACTGTTTCTGCACTGGGGTTCCTGTGAATCGTGCTATGAACATTCGTAGCTAAGGAAGCATGATATCATGAAACTTATTTTGGTAACTTCAGTGCTGATCATGAGAGGAAGAATTCAACACTGTGTCGTGGAAGCACATGTGGCACAAGCCTGTCACCCTAGTATTCAGGGGCTGAAGCAGGAAGACCACCACAAGTTAGAGACCTACCTGGCCAAAGTAGGAGGTTCACAGCCAGCCTGGAATACTGAGACCTGTCTCAGAAACAAACACAAAACCCTAAAAGCTAGAGCTATGCTAGCTGTAACTGAAATAGAATACAGAAAGGGCTTGAAAAGTTCTACACTGTTAAAGCTCTAACCACAGATCATAAAAAGAATGAACATGGGCTGTGGACATGGACTCCTGCCCAGGATGAATATAGTGGTTAAGTAGGTGAATATGTTTATTTTATTTTAAAAAATAAAATCAATAAGAATAAAATACTGCCTGTAATCCCAGCACTTGGGAGATTGAGACGGGAGGATTGCTGCAAGTTTGAGATTAGTCTGGGGCTACAAAAACGACTACAAGGCAGGCCCAAACTGCATTGTGAGACCTTATCTCAATAAAATAAAATAAAAATAAAAGAATAAAACCTTAACCACAGACAATGTTAAAACGAGCAATTATTGAGAAAATATGAAATCACAAAGAATGGTAGGACTGGCCAGATAGCTCAGGAGATTAAAGAACTGGCTTAAGCTGGCACAAGGACCAGGGTTCCATCCCTGGCCTGCTGTGCTGGCGCCGCCTCTGGGTTGAGCTGAGTCTGGGCATGGTAGCGCACCTGTAATCCCACCAATTGGGAGGCTGAAACAGGAGGATCATTACGAGTCTGTTCTGTGTAGTGAGACCCTTTACTAAATACATAAAAAGAAGGAGGAGGAGGAGGAGGAAGGAGGAGGAGG